AGTTATTTACGACTCAACTCTATAGATTAAAATTGACATCGAACCAAAGTGAGAAATTTACCTGCAACTAGATTATAATATATGTGAAATGTTGAAACTGAATTAATTTACAAATTTCCAGAACAAAAAGCGTGAATGAGAAGTAAAGCTTGCTTTTGGGTTAAAATTGAGCCGAACGATTCAGGAGGTATGAATGGAAGATGAAGACATACAGTGTATGTACTGTGATTCTTCGGAACGGGAAACTGGATTCACGAAACGATTCTAACCGCTTGAATGAATTACTTGTTGGGGTGTATCGTATAAGGTAGCGATGACGAAGTGGCTCTCGTTCACGCATAATTTAGTAATAACGACCCACGTGAACGAATGTTTAACCAGAGCTGTATCGCGTGTCTCGGATGCAGGTTTCCTCGAATAGCCAAGGTAAGGTAGCCTTATGTTATGCCCACCGAGATAGTCCCGTTCGATACTTTTAGAAAGCACATGAATACGTTCACGTGTGTAAACAAATACTTTTATATATTTGCATACATTTCTAAACTCAATAAATATATAGGTACTTATATAATAATACATGTATTGATAACATTTTTATGAATGATAATTGATCATTTGCGAACGTGATTAACTCCACAAAATTTATATTTACAATTCACTTTAAATATAAATAGTTAAACCCCAATCAAGTGCTGTGGTAATAAAATTAAAAAAAATTTTTTAAATTCAAAACGTGGAGTTAGCCACTTTGGCCTGTGAACGGCTCTATTAATGTATGGGCTCTTTGTATTTATACTGTAAGCAATTCGCAAATAATTTATTACCCCCTTCAAATCAATTATACAGTATCACAAAGATGGATTTATCTTTCTACGAATACTAGTGTACAATTCTCCAGATATACAATGCCCAAAAATAAATTACAATAAAAATTGCAATAGGTGTTCACTGGAATATTAATGATTACCATAACGGAAGGAAATAAATTTCTGAATAATGAAATGAATTTGGATCTAAGGGACTAAAACTTTCTCTGAGTTTGATATTATAAAAGAATTAAGAATTTCTTACTGATAAATTCAACTTTACAGTATCGTAAGTTATCCTGTTCTGGCATAGGCGGTACTGTGGCAAAAACGTAATAAAGCCGAAAAGGTCCCAATGGAACACGTTACGTTTCGCTGAAAAACGGCACCCCCGACACGTTTCCGGTGAAAGCATCCAATCTTTCATCTACGTGTGCACAGTTACGACCGGACAGATTTATATATTTTCATTGTCCCGCCGATCCATAACACGTCTTCAAAACGTACCAAGAAAGTGGACGGTGACCTGACTCCCTTTTCAACGATTTCTCACGATTCTGAATGACTGCCAGTATAACAGGCCACTGTCGGCGGTCCCAATAGAGCAAAAAAGGTGCCCAAACCTTTTGACCCACCGTTCATCCCATTCCCCACACACTTTGCTACCGTCCACCCCGCACACCGAATATGGTTCCTCCCTTTCATGTTCCCGCGAAGGATGCGCAGCTCCGTTCGGGCGTCGAAATCGCCCACGCGGCCTTGTTTACCCGGTGACTTCAACGGGATAAGAAGATGCAAGCGATATGGGCGGAAGCGCGAGGCTCTAGAAACGTTTCGAATTGAATAAAAATTTCTTATTTTCCGATTATTGAAATTAGGAGTGTTTTTGACGGAATTGATATCAGAATTGGGCAAAATGTAATTTAATTACAAAATCTAAACTGCATTTACAAATTGCAATGTAATTTCAAGACAATTACAATTACATTGTATTAAATGTACTAAATTTACAATAAAAACTACAATGTAATTGTGATTGTTTTTAAGCAACATAGACTTTGCAAATTACGCGAAACTGAGCAAAGAACTCCAAAAGTAACGAAAATTTATCCGTATGGTGGTGCGAATTGGTTATGCAACTGGTTAAATTTTTTCGTAAATTTCCAACTAATTGTAAAAACACTCGATATACATTATGCATAACCTACGCTCGTAAGATAAACGCTTTTAACGGTTTGTGAGATCACGCATGAACCTCACGTGAAATCCAGTCATGGCGGAGGAGGCGGTTTGTGTGGTCACTGTATACGCATACTCCCGCATGTTCCTCGAAACATCGTAACTTCTATTTTTTCTTCAAGATTCCGTCGGATATCGAATAATTTTTGGTTACTCCACGAGATTTACGAACGTTAATATACTGGAGAAAAGAAAATTATCTTTCGATAATCAAACCTCTCGTTCAGTCCGGAAAATTAAATAAACTGAGAACAAATGTCCTTTGTGAATGATAAAGTTAACACTGCACAGACATCATTATTCCATAATTTTCGTAATCAAAATGTGTATTCTATTCATTTCTAATGGTAATTTTTTAATTTATGGTTTTGAATTAAAATTACTAATTCAGAGTAATTGTTCAGTTGTATTACAAAAGAGTACCTGTATAGAATTCATCAGAAAAATTCGACATATTCAGGTGGTTTATAATATACTAGATTGTAATGTATAAACGTTGTTGTATCCATTAAATCTACTCATAACTGATTATTTACTTTCTTAATAGGATGGTAATATACTTTAGATTTAATGGCTTTCAGTTCTTGTAATTTACAAAAATGGCGTCGGATGTTGGAGAACAACGATCAACATTATTAAGGGAGCATTGACCTTCTTGAAAACAAATATTAAATTTGGAAAAAAAATGTTTCGATTACACAGTGGTACATCTAATGAATATGTATAATGTCTGAAGGTTATGTAAAGATATCTAAGAATAGTAAGATTCATTCCAAAGAAAAGAAGAATTTTCAACCGAGGGTTTGAATCGATAAAATCTGTTCCACATTCACGGATTATGAAAGTGATTTCGTGGAAGTGTTAATAGAGCTGTTTCTCGACGAACAGTTCGAAACGAATGCTGCACACGTATGGGTTATGTGACCCATATTTTGATCGCGTTAAAGAATTAATTCTGACATGGTGCGTTCAGTTTACGAATTGTTCGTGGCTCAACAGAAATTTAATTATTCTCCACTTTGTTCGCACATAATTTCTAACTTCCCTGAAATCGTCACTGAAATGTAAAATTGGGCCAAGTAAGGCAGAAACCTAGTAACCCTTAAAATGACAAAAAATTAGTTAAACGCAGTACGAATTCCATAACTTTGTGATCTTTATTTTGCAAAGAGTTGCTAACCCATAGAACAACTACATTATACAATTACTGTAGAAAATTAAAATAAAATTAAAATGAACTATAGAAAATTTAAAGTAGTATTAATTATACTATTCACTACTTAGTAAGTCCTTAAAAAACATTGTAGTATAACAACAAGAAATAAAATATACCCAATAGAAATAAAGCTACCTTTTTTTAAAATTAAGATTTTCAAACTCAGATCATTGAGGGTTGGTAGCTTTCTGCATAACTTGGCCCAATTATCCCTCCTTACTTCCATTCATTATTGCATTCTAGAAAATGTTTGATCATAAATGTTTAAAAATATTAAAGTAACAATTCCTTATTATTTGTAATAAACCCAACTAATTTAAATAGTATACATCGCAAGTAAAAACAGTCCATACAAATATAAGAAAGCGTTCAATATTCTACAAAAATCTAGGCACATATTCCAGCTAATATCCTCATTATTTAATGCTACTTCTAAAGTAAACTCCATATTGGTTAAACCGTTCAATATTCCATGAAAAAGTAGCTTGGACTTCCTCGAGTAGGCAGCGGCCTAAAGCCTCCGCATGCAGGTAAAACCATAAATTCCCCGATCGTCCCGAAAATCGTGTCCTACAAGCAATAAACGTGACATCTCGAATTGCTAATGTCCACTCGTTCACCGATACGATCGAAACATTGAACGTAGATCACCGTCGACCACGTACTGTGTAAACCATCGTTTCCCACGCGTGTCGTGTGGGCACGAGCCACGGAATTGCCTGCTTGCATTACGTCCCTAAAAACGATGGAACGTTGGCTCGACTGTTCCAGATGCTCGCCGCATTATCTCCTTCTTTCGGTGGAATTGTCCCTCACCTACGTTCGTGAAATCTAACCCATACTTCGAAACGGTCCAATCATCGATATATTCTAGGTCTCGCGGGGCCGAGACTGGACGGAAAGGCCGTGTGGATCGCGTATTCAAAGCGACGCGATAACGTCCGTCTGAGGCAATCTACCGGAAACGGTGGAGCGCAGCGAGAGTTGGTTCAGGGAACTTCTCGCGTGCCGGCTTTAATCAGCCGCGTTTCGCGCAGTGAAAATTTTCGCGATAACACCGTTCGATACTTTTCTTCCTTCCTCCCTACTTCCTCCCACTTTCTCTCTCCCAGCATGTGTAGACATGTTACGTAAACCGGCTGAATAATCCGGTAACCCAGGATCGATTAATCGATCGTCCATTCACCCTTGATCAACGAATGGCGGGACAGCGGTTCATAAGAAAATACCTTATTCGATCAGTTACCGAAATAAACATACTTGAATGTTGAATGACATGTATATACCTTTGAATCGACACTCCAGTAGAGTAATATAAAATCGTCGTAAGCTATACACTATGTCAACACGTTAATCGTCGAGCCGATTTCGATGACCTCTCTGTTTAGCCAACGCGACGTGGTCAACCGCAACAACGAAAATGTATTTACAAATATTGGAAAATACCGTACGAAACGTCACGTAGAAAATTCAAAATGGTTTCGAAGGGACAGTGCTATGTCGATGGTCGTCATGGCGATCAACGCGTTAATAACCCCGAGTCACGAGAGCACATACGACAAGGCTGTCAACACCGACACGAAAGTATTACGGCACTATTCTTACTATCTACCCTGAATACCAGACACAATTCACTGTATCAAAACGTAAAATCGCGATCCAACAGTGTGTCTGTACCCGTCAGTTTATCTATGAACGAACGGTACGCGACTGGGTATATATTACAAGCTCTCACTCACCACAGCCTCGGTGACCGGTATCCACGTGACGACCAGTAGGGCAAGGACGCAGGTGACTCGCAGGACAACCGGGAACGGAGGTAGCCTGCAGGCTGCGGTGGTTGACGTCGCCGCGGCCCTAGGCCGCATTGTGCCGGTCGTTTCTCCTCCTCCTTCTCCTTCTTCGTTCACGTCGGTACCCGTTGTCGTCTCTCTCTCCAGTCCTCTCGCGTTTACCTGTCCTGTCTACGTTCCGCCACGACCAGAGCCCTTAAAATAGACGAACGAACGACGACGACGACGATGACGCTGATTCGTTCGGGAACGGTTTATACGGCCCGTAATTCCGTGTCGATTTGGTCGGATGTTGTTGTTGGTAGAAACGATGATGATGATGCCGCCGGTGGCTGGTCGGCCAGCCTGTCGACGAAGCGCCGCGTGTCGAAGGGCCAGCAGAGACACGGCCCGCTCGCTTGGCCCGTCCTCCCGATCCCAGTCGCTGCTCCAGCGCAGCCAGACACAGCAGGCCAAAGTCGGTGGCGGAGGAGGCGCTCTTCTCTTCTCGTCTCCTCTTCGCGCGGAGCGAGCTGTATCCTTGCGCGTGTGGTGTGTGGTGCCCCAGCGTTGTCGTTGGTGTTAGCGGGTATAGAGGATGGCTCCCCTCTCGCTCTCTCTCGCTCTCTATCGCTATCTTTCTCTCTCTCTCTCACACATACACCCACTCTTTCTCTCTCTCCGCCCGCCCCGTGTGCTCTCTTGCTCGATTCGCTCTCGCCGTGAGCCGTGCCAGAGAGCTAACCGCTGCCGATCGACATCGGCTGAGACCGTGCAACAGTCCTCGTGCGACGCGCGACCAAGCTCGCCTCGACCCGGTCACCAGTTCCTCTCCACCTCCCTCCCTGCTCTTCTTCTCCTACCCTCCTCCTCTTCTTCTTCTTCTTCTTCTTCCTCTTCTTCCACTTGTATTCTCTCTTCTTACTTCCCACTCCGTGCACCGGCGACGTGGGGCCCTCTTCTTTCCTTCCTCCACCTCCCTTCCTCGCTCTTTGGGGCTTCTCCCAGTCTGTCCTTCCTTCTCGCGCCCTGCCGCCACTGGTATCTTCTGGTCCCGCAGTTGGCGGAGTCAGGCTGGAGAGTTCGATTCCTCTGGCCGCGGACTGGAGAGAGCACAGAAGCACCAGGCGGGGGAGGCTAGCCCAGGATACGAAAGAGGAACAGCGGACGTGGTGTGCGCGTGTATGCGGTGGCGAGCCAGCAACACTGGGATTGTATCTGCTCGCTGGAACAACCGTGGTGAAGAACCGACCCGTTCCGTCGCTCGCGTGGTGTCTCACTCCTCTCACACACTCTATCTCTCTTTCCTCTCCCGCGATCCTTTTCGGCGGAGGAATTCTAGCTGGCGTGGCTCGACGGCCGCCTCCACGCCACTCTTCCTTCCCTCCACCCGAGTTTCATTCAGAGACCCTCCCTGGATGGGACGGTCCACACACCACTGCTACTCGGTGCCGGGTTCCCCGCGATATTTTGTGACTGGCTGTCCGTGCGGTGCTCGTGGTTAGCCTGTGCTCTTCGGCTCCCTAGACCCGTCGCGGAATAGGGAGGTCGAAATGACCCGGTTGGGATTGCGGTGAGTTTTCGATTCAATCTTGCTTCTTCTAATCTTTTTTTTTTTTCGATCTTTCAATGTTCTTCTGGTACTCTGTTTCCGTTTGTCCGCGCTTCCTTACCTCCCCCTGTTGTTCGCGTCTCTTTTCTCGGTGGCTGGTTCGTCAACCTGTTGTGCGTTACGTCAATGATCTCTATATTGCGCGCACTGGACACGTGCGTTCTGGTGAACGGTGTGCAGCCTGCGCTGCTGTCTTGTGTTTCCCTTTCTCAACACGGAAGTGTCTTTGCTCGATAATCTTTGTGAACCCCTCGGTCTGGCTCGAATACAGTAATTTTGCTGTCTTCTGGTTCGGGGTTATATTTTTCTTTTTGCTATAATCCCATCCAACCCTTTCGTTGTTCTTCCGCACGCAGCGTGTATATCTTGATCGCCGTTTTATTTTCCTACGGACTGCTGCTGCTTATACTTCCCTCGGTGCACGCGCCACAAGTGTTCCCCGTGACAGACGGAGGGGGCACTTTCAACCCCTGCTACGTTCCGACGAAATGACGAGTGGATCTCAAGGACGAGGAGACGCGCGTGTGTTTACGGACGATTATCCTTTGGAAGAGAAACGTTTAATGGCGTGGTCGGGTATCTTCTTGGTTCTTCGTTTTCTTTTTTGTTCGTTCGTTCGGTTCGCCTTGTGATTTCGGCGCGGTCTGCTCGATAAACACTTATCGCGGGCTGTTGAGACTCGGGATAAACCGAATACGGGGAGTTATGAAATTCTGACGAGATTCTGTGCTCTATTTATAGAGGAAGATTCTAGAAAAAAAAAGGAGTCAAGAAATTTCCATGTCTTTTGACTCGGTTGCCCCATTTTCTGTATCATCTGCATACCTCGTGTTTTAACGATTGTTTGCTTCTTTCTTGGTTCATGGTTACAGAGTGTGTAAAATCGAAAGCAAATATTAACTGTTGGGATATTGAATATTAGTAGAGTGAATATTTTATTTAGTCTGTTCTGTGATAGTTGTGATTTCAACGATCATGGTACCGCAACTTTGACGTATACCCAACGAGTGTAGACAGTGTTCAGTGGCTAATCAACGAAACAACTCTGTTTATTCTTTTATTAATTGAACGAAATTTAATAACTAGTGATTTGATTTCTATTTGTCGAAAATATTGAAAATGATCTTCGAATTAAATTTTTGACATTAGGAAGCTTTCGTGTAAAAAAAAGTGACCGCTTTTTTCTGCGTTTCTCTTTACAGATTCGTCGCATCCGCAGTTTTCCTGGCCGGGATTGTCGGTGGGGTATGTACAAGTAATTTTTCTTCCACTCACACACTTTCATTGCCATGACAGCATTTTTGCATGTCAAATATTGTTGTTATATACAAGAATTTAGTTTTAAATCTTGGAGTAAAGGAAACAAATTTTATAGATTTAAGATGATCCATAGTACATATAACAAATCGGTAGCCATTTTGGCATAATTGACAAACCATCTCAAGAAACTACACACTTATATACTTATTAGAAAAACAGAAACATGAAAGGTAATGACTAGACTGTGGATCATAAATATTTATAGCAAACGCGAAAGTATAAAGATTAATGACATTTTATTATGGTAATTGACACTTTACTTTACCTTTAATCTTTTAACCTAACAGTATGATATAAACAATACTGCTTCTTGTTTTATATTATACATAAGGAATCAGTTATTTGTCTAGAAAAAAGCATAATGTTCGTTAGGAGATAAGTTATACCCAGAAAAAAGAATTATTAATCCATCGATAATTAAACGTACTTCTAAGCATTTATTTTGGCAATTTTCAAATTCATGTTACAAACACTATTGCTTTTGAGATTTCCTGATACTTAATTACACAAATAAATTGTGTTTTATTCTTAGTTTTTATGCAAAGGGAACAAAACTGTAGATTCGTACGAACATCCACAATCTAGTAATCTTTAAAGATAGGGAAAAATTCTTATCTATATGAGAATTTTCGAATACGAACTAAAACTCAAAGAATTCCTACACATTACTTCTTAAACCAACATAAGAATTTCAATCACAGATTAACTTCTATTAAATCGAGTCATAGATAACTTTCATTTTCTTCCTTTACATTTCCGTCAGGCAAGTCCATTTTACAATTAACATAAATACATCCCAAACTCTGAAACATTACTAAACACAGTGACTCCTATTCAATTTAAATATCCTCACTGCTCTTCAATCAATATTAGTAATTATTCTAGTGTCTATGGAATAAATTTTTTTTCGTCATTATTCATAATCGTAACAACCAGTTGTTAGGATTATACTAGTTACACTATAATAATTGCCTGTATAATTCGATATATTCTACACAATTTACCTAGAATGTTACAAATAATTTTAATAATAATTCAATTCACCCCCAATAATAAGAACTAGACTCATATCAGCAAATCAAAGCTACGTAGATGTAACTTACAAATCACAGAAATTTGCGAGCAATTTGCAGATTCACCATTTAAAAACAAGTTTATAAATCGTTTCTTTCAACGATCACCAATCGTATCAGGTAAAAAATGAAGCAATCTTAAATTTATCGCGTTGGATCGCGATCGAGGATCGATCGTCGTACGATACCCGGGGATTCATTCATGGATCCACGCGTTTGCGAGTGCATGCACGTGCACCGGTGCGTGGACTGCGCCGAACGGGCAGCGGCGACTAGCCACGAAGTCGGTGGTCTGGGATCGAGCGGATCGCGTTTCGATCGAGGCGGGCCGTGTGATTCCGCGACGCGTGCGGCCAGGCCTTCCCCTTTCGCGGACGCAGCGAGTCGGCGCGAGGGCGATGAAGCCCCGTCGAAGGCCGACAGACCTCTGGGCAGCGTAACGCGCGAGGATGTCGATCGTACGCGCGATTAGATCATTGGGAACGTCGTTATTTCTGCGTTGAGCCGGGCCTACGCTATAATAACGGGATATTGTTTAACAAATTTTTTTGCAACTTTGTTATATAATATATTTTAATAGCTTGTTACTGGGTGTATCTTTTGTACTTTAATGAGTTTATAAAACATTTCGCGAAAAAGGGGAAATTATTTAATATCAATATCTTTTTAATGATTATTAAAATATCGAACTTATTGCGTTGAAATATTAACTCTCTTGCAACCAAACATTTTTTCGTGTCTAAAAAAAGACAATCTTTGGATACGAACTAATAATTAATTAATGATTTATGAATGTTTTATTTGGTTTGTTTTACTATTATTATAATTATTGGACATTTATTTAAAACAATTGCAAAACAAACGGTTAAAAAATATTTTCTTCTAATTGAAATAACTTTGATTAGGTACTGTTATGTTTTTTCTATAAGAACCAACAAAGCTCATTTTGATCAGTTTGTTAGTTCAATAGTTATGATTTATTGGAAAAAGCTTAATTAAATTTCAAACAGCTGTGACACCAACAATTAAAAAAATTTTCAAAGACCCTTCGAGATACGTTTATATATCGCTAAACACTAAATCCTATCTAAATTTGAACAAAATCCTAAATGGTGCTCCAAAAAGTGTCCGATCTCGCGTGAAATGACCCCATTATTAGCCTCGAAATAATGAATAAATACAGTCAAGCTAACTATGAAACATTGATCTTCGATACAAAGTGCTGCAATATTGACGAATCGCTCGAACAAACCAGTAAAATTGCTCGTCAACGTGATACGACTCAATTTCGACAAACAGCTCCGAAAAATAGTCCCGATAAGCCTCGTCACGGTCCTCGAATCCTTCGCTCGCCGTCATTCTTCTCCCTCGTTCTGCGAGCTTATTTCCGAGCGTCGCACACCGAGGGATATCGGTAACGCGAGGGATCAATCGTCGACGCGATAACAGGGCCCGGCGGGTCCCCGGCGGATTTGTCGTTCGTGAACAACGGCGAGGTGTTAAATCCGAAATAGGGCAGTCGTCTGTTAGCGACCAGTCCGCCTACGGCGTCGTAACCGCGATCGCGCGCGATGTAATTTTATTACGCCATGTACAAGCATATGTACGTACCGACGCGCGCGTACGGCCACGCGAGACGGGCTTAGTCACTATTGAAAATAGTTCGGAATTGACTCCGGACTTGATTGCCAACGTCTGGCGAATTTAATCGACGTTTTCTGCTTTCTAACGATCCCGTGGTCTGGGTTAGGTTTATATTATTATTTGTAAATTCGTCTATGATAATGATAGTATATTTGTGTTCAGAGTTTCATATTGATCGTCAACAGGGAAATTTATTTACTGTTTTTATGAAATTAACCCTCGATGGAACTTTAAAGTCGCACAGTCATGTGTACATTTACCAATGAAAATTAAGAAACAAAACAATTTTTATGAACAGTGTATTTATTATTTGCGTTTATAGACAAATTAATGAAGGTCGATTTCACATTTGTTAAGGTTTTTCTCAGAGTGGATTGTATGTTTCTTCCGTATATTCGAATAATTACACACGAGAATGATAAAAGAAAATATATAACGAAATACCTGATTAATTGCTTTGGTTCTTAATAATAACAATAGTAATCAAAATAAATAAGTAACGAAATTAAATAATGAAATGTTTAAGAATTGTAAATTAGGTATTAGTTCATATCTTAGGGTTAATATTTGCTTCGCGTTACATAATTTTCTTTAGACACGATACAAATGAGGTTATAGGGGGTGAACATTTCGAGTCGAAGGGTTCGATATGTTAATGCGTTGATCTTATATAATTTTTTCATCTTAATCATCAGACTTTTTTTCTCAGTGAACCACTGTATGTTTAACTATATGGACCAGAACCAAAAAAATAACTTTCATCAAATAAATGTTAATATTCAATATTCATATTCAAAATAAAGTCCGTCTACGTTATTACATGTAATTTTAGTCCCTTTCACCTTTACCTTCAATGAAATCAGTAACACAATAAACTATCTTTAATTCCCCAAATTTCGAATGTCCATACAGAATTCAAACACCAGTGTGTTACTCGAATATAATCCATCGTAATAGTTCAATCATCTCTAAACTGTTCAGTGCAAGTTTTCCTTGTTCGCATTCAGATGATCACAAACGTGCTAATTACATTAATCGACTAACAGTAATGTCGACAATAAAATTTCTCTGTAACACTCCCATCACAACTTATAATGACAAGATCAATATCTGTCCGCTCTAATCTTATCATTCGATTAATAAATTAATCGAGGCATAAACTAATGCAGTAAAAGAGCACCGAATTCCTTGGTTCATTAAGCCTACATTACTGCCATACTCCACTCACCTAGACATGTCTCGAACTTAATGGACTCGCGTTCAGCGACGCGTGAAACGCGAAAAATCGTATCGCGTGGCGGGGAGCGACTTGTATCATAGCGACAGCATTAAAGTCAGGGGAAACGGGTTTACGGAGGCAGCCGGGGATTAATGATGATCGTCGTGGACTCGATTGTACGGCGAGCTCACTTAAAGAGGATTCAACCGAGCAAGTGAATCCCATTAGTCGAAATTACAATTACGGCTGTTTGCCTTGTTATTAGCGAAATCGGTGCTTAATTAAGAGACACAAAATCAATTAGGAAGTTAACGACGATAAAGTATTAATTTCACACGAGTCGCGTGTCGTTTTTAAGAATTTTAATCTTGGGTGTACGGATCGTTGAAGCTGGCGGTTGGGTCACTCGTGACCTATAACAATATATCGAATTATGTTGGATGATATTCGTTTCGTCGTTATATAAATACATTGATGACTATGTTCATGGTTATGCAGTAAAATTTTTTTTTTATTTCTATTTAGTGAAAATACTGGTAGGTTGATCGTTGAACATTCAAACAGGGAGTACAGTGGTATGATATAATATTTGGGAACGATTTTATGGTTTAAAAAGAGTTGAACGGTCGAAAATTTATATCTTCTTAGGCCATGGCAATATTAATTTTTAAGAAAAATTAGGTAACGCATCGTCGAGAAATATGTGAGATTGGTGAAGCGAAATTACTTTTTTTCGTTTGACCTTTCTTATTCGGAACGGCAGTCTTGAGTGCACCGATCGAAAATATAGGTCATCCCATGAGTTATGCGGCTTCTCCGAGAGTTGAATTCAAAGAAATATAATTCAACGTGACCATCATTTATCTGCTTGGTGTATATAATACTTTAAACGGATATATTTCATCGACAATTCACCAGTATGGAACAAATATTTCAGTTACTACAAACGTTTGAACCAGACGTGACGAATGAAAATAGTTGGTATATTA